ACACAAACACGCAGTTGTAAATAAATTCGTTTTAATCTACATGATTTGAGAGCGCGCCACTCTCCCAGTGGATTATTTTGACGTCAGCAGCCAGGCTTGCTTTTAAGACTTTTAAGGGTCGGAGACAGGGTTGGGGTGGTGGGTGGAGGGGTGAGTTAACATTCTGGGGTTTGTATCTTAACATAACCGTGGTCATGTATGGAGGTTTTGTGATCGTGCTTTTCAGACGATTATTTTTCCGATTTGTTACATGCAAATCGTGCATTTTATTCGTGCCATCGACAAGATTATCTTTGCAAAAAGGGCATCTCCATTTAAAACCTGATTGGATAGGATTGGGAGGCTGTTTTGTGGACACGTTCTAGCGGTGTGAAAAGCTCTCGGTAAAGCATTACAAGCTTATATAAATGTAATGATAGCTCGTTGGCAGTGATGCACAAATAACAAACACATTCATCAATAGCCATGCCGAAAATAAAATTACATAACAGGTGAGGGTTTGAGCGGTGGCACTTTTTAGCCACTTCTTCATGATCCGAAGTCTTTTTCTTCTTCGGGACAGAATTGTGAACGAATGTGTCGAGTTTTTTGTCAATTGGCATGTGGTGAAAATGCTAAATAAATTCAGAGCAAGTGAGTCGGGTGTCTCTGGGATGTTTCGAATCTTGGGGTCACATTCCAATCTCAAACCAAGTTTCTCCTTTATACGAACATTGACAGCTCGCTGCTTTTTGTCATCAACACCGCCTTGCAACAGAGAAAAAAAAAATTTTGTTTTGCGAAACATGTACAGCAATGGCCTATTTATCACAGCAAGGGAGGACAGCCACGTGTAACTGAACTAAGTTGGAGACTGCAATTTCAAATTGTGCACGGTTTCTTGAAGAAAAACTGAACACTGAAGGAAGCCTTCTTGGTTCTTTCGGTAAAGTCACGTAGAAGGGAAATAATAAAGAAAGACGCTGTCTTTCCGACAGACCTGTTCTTCCGCTGAGGACGGCTGCTTGCGTTGTGGCCGAAACGTCGTGAGAATTGTATTTTATGTTTTTTTATTATTTCCCTTCTACGTGACTTTACCGAAAGAACCAAGAAGATGAATCCCTGCAGTCACGAAAGCTTTAAATCGAAACTGAAGGAAGTTTCCAGTTTTGAATAATCAATGCCCCCCCCTCCTCCACCACTGTCTGTCTGCTTGCTTATGCTCTGGGGATAAGTGGGGAGGGTGCATCGGGGTAGAGGCCATGGATCTGGGAGCACAGAGGAGAGCTGAGTGGGTATATTGAGGGCTGGAAAGACATTCGGGGTAAAAATGGCTCCATGAGATCGGGTCCTTCCCTGCCTCGTATCCGATTCCCAAGGGTATCAAACTAAAACTTTTTCATTTCACCAGGGTAAGGCCACTAAGCTATATCACCCCTTTTCAGAAGAGACCTGGCCACAAATTATAGCTCACCGAAGTCGCTTATCTTGTGGAAATTAATAGCAGCCCAAATACTCCAAACGCATGTTGATTCTAAATGTAGAGGGGGAAAAAACGAGGTCCCGAACAAAAATCCTTGCCACCACGAGGAGAACACGCAAACTCCAAATATACAGGCGCCAGGGTCTGGATTGAACCCAGGTGCCCTTTTCTCCTGCTCCCCTCCCATCTCCCTCCTGCCACCCAATCTCCCCTCCCATCTCCTCTCTCTTCTCCTCTTCCTCCCATCTCCCTCCCCTTCTATCTCCTCTCCCCTCCAATCTCCCCCCCCCCTCTCATCTCCCTCTCCCATCCTACCTCTCTTTTTACGGTCAGAGGAAACAAGAAGATGCTCGGTGTAGTCGGCACTTTGCTTCGTTCATCATTTCGTTTTTTTTATGCTTTCCTTTATGTACCCCCCCCCCCTCTCTGCCCCCCTCTCTCTCCCTCTCTCTCTACCCCCTCTCTCTACCCCCCTCTCTCTCTACCCCCTCTCTCCCTACTCCATGTCTATGCTCCCCCTATGTTTTCTATGTAATATTTGTAATATACTAAAATAATTTCTACACCTCTCCTCCATCTCCCCCCCTCCCATCTCCCCCTCCCATCCGACCATCTACTCCCATCTCAACCTCGTTCCATCTCCCTCCCCCACCCTATCAATACCCGCCATTCGCCAACAACAATAACCCCAATTGTTTGATCAGATTGTTCTGTCTCCCCATTTCTTCTGAGAGGTTATCTCCATTGTTCGATCCGGGGGGAATTATCCAGACTTGAGGAAATAATAAGCGGACAATAACGTCTCAGTCAAAGATGCGGCTCCACATAAACCTAAAAGAATAACAACACATCTTACACAAGCCAATCATCCGGCACAGCAGATTATACACTCCCAGAAGCATCTCTCCCTGCTCCCATTCTGCCTCCCCTCCCAGATACTCAACCTCCCCCCAATCTCAATTCCTCCCACCCGACCAATACCAATAGCCGCCCTCCGATCTCCTCCCATCTCCCCTCCTCCTTCTCTCTCTCCTCCTCCCTCCTCCTCCTCCAATCCCCTCCCTCCTCTTCTTTTTATCCCTTCCTACTCTTAAATTTTGACTTAAAACTTTCGTGACTGTAGGAATTCATATTCTTGGTTCTTTCGGTAAAGTCACGTAGGTAGAAAATAAAAATTAAAAACAAAAAATAAAATAAAATTTAAAAATTACGACCCCTATCCCTCTTCCTCCTCCTATCCCCTCATCCTATCCCCTCCCTCCTTCTCCTATCCCCTCCTATCTCCTCCCTCCTCCTATCTCCCTCCTCCTCCTATCCCCTCATCCTATCCCCTCCCTCCTCCTCCGATCCCCTCCTCCTTCTCTCTCTCCTCCTCCCTCCTCCTACTATCTCCTCCTATCCCCTCCTATTTCCTCCCTCTTATCCCCTCCCCCTACCCCCCCTCCCTCCTCCCCCTATCCCCGCCCATTCCCCCCCTAACCCCCTAGCCCCGCCCCCCCTAGCCCCCCTCTCCTCTCCCTCCCCCCCCTATCCCCGCCCATACCCCCTCCAATCCCACCCCCTCCTCTCCCCGCCTCCCCCTAGCCCCGCCCCCCTATCCCCTCCCTCCTCCTAGCCACGCCCCCCCTACCCCCTCCCTCCTAATCCCCGCCCATTTCTCCTCCTCTCCCCCTAGCCCCGCCCCCCCTATCCCCTCCCCCCTTCCTCTCCCGCCTCCCCCTAGCCCCGCCCCCTCCCTTCCCCCTCCTAGCCCCGCCCCCCCACCACCCCCCCCCTACTAGCCCCGCCTCCCCGGGTCCCGCGGGCTTCGCGGCGGGCGGCGAGACCAGGCCTCGCTCCCTGGGCGGCCGACGCGAGGCGAAAAAGAAAGGGCCCCATCGCCACCACTACCACCACCACCAACAACAACAACAACCACCAACAACAACAACAATCACAACAACAACAGCAGCAGCAGCATCGTCGACATCTTCACGGCGCGCTCGCCATGGAAGTTACGGGAAGGAGACGGAAACGAAAGTCACCCAGTTCCAAACTTCGCAAAAGCAATGGTAAAATGTTACACGGACGACGGCGGCGACGGCGGGGATGGTTTAAGCCTTTGAGGGAACGTTAAACCACTAACTAATTACACGCACGGGGGGACTAACTTACCTCTTCGTACACCTTGAACCGAGTTGACGTTCGCTCGGCGATTTGTTGAATCGTCGCAAAGGGAAAGTTTGGTCGTGGATAGTTTGTTTTGCTGATGATGATTGTGGTGATGATGATGATTGTGGTGGTGATAATGAGACTAGTCGAGAAGCGCTAGTGGCGCTATAGGATCACGACATCGCTAATCCCACAGGCCCTCTCACCCTCGCAACCAATAGACGTTAACAACGTGTTGTTGCTAACGAGATAGAGAGAGAGAGATAATTTAAAAAATCCAAAGAGACGTGTTTTTATTTAATAACGCCAACAAAACAATGCGTCTGTGTGTTTGTATTGAATGTGTGGGTACAGTGCAAGATGTAGTAGTGTACAGTGCGGACGACGGGCATTGCTCGTGTTAACGATTTGGCTTTGGGTGGCTGCGTGCAATGTTTGAGGGATGGTGGTGGTGGTGTTGTTGTTGTTGTTACTAGTGTGTGAGATCTGTTGTTGTTGTTGTAAAGGTGAACTTTTATTCCCGTGTGCTTGTTCTGCTTGCTGCAAACCCATCTTTAGTTTATTGGGTGTACCGTGGTCAACCCAGATGGTTTAACCCGTATTCCTGTACAGGGAAATATATATAACATTGTCTGTTTGTGTTTCTCTCTTGTGATGACGGGATTTTGTAGGATGAACGTTGCGATTTTTAAGGGCACGGGGTGACCAAGAAGGTCTGAATTGATCTGTTATAAGGTAGACACTGCTAAGGGGTTGACAGGTATGAGTGTGTGTGGTGTGGGGGGTTTTGGCTGTGCCCCATGCCTTTGTTGTTGATGATGGCTTTTGTGTGTGTGTGGAGTGTTTTTTTAACAGTGGTTATTGTGTATCTCCCCACCCCACCCCTGTAAGATATTCTCTTTCAACATCAACCATTTTACCACCATCGGAGTCGTCTCGTTTAAGAAGAACAAACTGTAATTCGGTGCCAATGTGTAAAAATCAGTAATCTCCCTGATCAAATGGAGCATCTGAGACGGTGGTAAATTTACGGTTTACAGCCCTAAGCATAGTGGTGATATTTCCTCATTTCCTCTTGATATTAACTACTCGGAGTAAAACGTTTGAACTTGAGCGTGGATAATAATCTGCGATGATTCCTGTCAAATGCACTCCATAGGTTAGTCGGCTTAGACTTGAATCACACAGGATCCTTTTGTACAAGATGACTACTCTCAACTTTAATGCTTGCCGTGTGGCCTATAGTGGGGCAGTACCGTAAGCAGGTTTCAGACCTATACCTGCATGTATACGCAAACATTTCATTGCTATAACTTGATGTGCCTTGCTTTTCTCGGGCAATTCCCAATTTCTCCCACGTGCGAGGAATTGGGAGTCGGGCAGCTTTAAGCAGAAACTCTCATGAAATAGTCTATAAAGCCTCAATTGATGTGTTTTTTCTTTGGCTGGGTATACAAAGGCCTACGGTATATGTGACGCGTGCATTCTTGTTCGTTCCCCTCCCCGTTTCAGCGTTTGCCGAGGAGAACAGCGCTGCCAGCGACTTGGAGTACCCAATGCAGCAGGAGAAGCACGTGGCAGTGGATAGCGAGGCTTCGCGATGTCTCGCACTAGACGAGGCGATGGCCAATGGTTCTGGACGTGTTCACGGTGAGCCGCTTGTATAATGTCTTACCAACACCCGAAAGGTGTGCTCCAGTGTGTTTGTTTCAGCCTTTACGGGTGTTCCCCCATGTTGGTGGGTCTTCCCATAATTTACAGAAAGCGTTGGAAATTCAACGCTTGAGCCAACTCCAAGGAAATGTGCCTCTGAGGTGGCAAGTGTTGAATCGAGATGAGTGGCCACACCACTTTGTGACGCAACGGTGGCGAGATGTCAACTACCTTGCCTGGTACACAGGAGGTTGTGGGTTAGATCCCAGCCCTGATGCCTGCTGTATATTTGGAGTCAGCGTGTGTCTCTCTCCCCGTGATCGCGTGTATTTTTCTCTGGGTCCACTGGTTTATCCCTCCATTTTTAAAGTATTAGGCTGCTATACATTTCCACGTGATGATAAGCCTCTTCGTTGAGCTGTCATTTGTGGCCAGGTCGCTTCTGAAAAAGAACAAAAAATAGTTTAAAGCTTCGTTTTTTTATATGCAAGTGTTCACTGTTCTGGGAACGTTTGCCATAGCTTCAGCAGCTGAGCGAATATATGTTGGCCATTATTATTGTATTAGGGAGTTAAAATCAATCCCTGAGTCTTACAATTTCCAAACCTCAATAGTTATCTCCATAATGTGTTTGTGCTTGCCAAGTATTTCCAGTTTGAGTACGCCAAGTCTACCCTTGTTTGTGCTTCCACTTGTGCATTTTATTTTGTGTTATACAAGATGTAAGTCATGTCACACTTATGCGTTGTCCTTTAATACATCATTTCTCATAAGACCAACACAGGCTCTTAGTAATTTCACTAAGGCTGACTTTTAAGTAAATCTGACTTTTGTATATCATACAAACGTTACTGTGAGTAAGTGCTGTGCTTTTATCCTCCAATGAAAGGCTGCAAAAATGCCACAACTTAGTCTCATGGTGGTATGCACGTGAGTGTATGTTGATCTTACATAATGTAATCAGGCCTGATCTAGAACTGTCGCAAATGAGGCTGTTGTGTTCAGTCGAAACACAATTCAGTGTTGCCACATTCTGATTTCACAGGCACTCCCTACCCATTCGTATAACATAAATGATTTTATGACAAAAATACCAAAACCCTTTTAACAGTTATAATCTCCTTAAATATAAAAGAGGCATGGAAAGAGTCTAGTTTTAATAAACGTGTTCTATTACTGTCAATTCAAGTTAATATATACTGCAGATAGTATTAAAGAGAAACTAATTTGTATCATATATTGTACTCGAGCTGACTGGTTTGGAGTACTATTGTATTCTGAATCATGAAATCTATGGTTAGCATTGATTACAGCACACTTTAACAGCGTATTCCGTGGCTTTGTCAGTGTATTATGTGGCTTTGTCATTAAACACTGATTTCTTGTCTTGAATGAGATACTGTAATAATGCACACTTTGTAAGATTTACACATTCTCCATTAAGACTTTGTGAATGGTAACATATTATCATTTTAATACAGCCTATGCAACAACAAAAACAACGTGGAAATAGAAAAATGTTTGTTTAGTTTTTCCTTCAGGTGACGGCACAGAGGAAGGCAGCATCAACAATGGAAACAGCCACCAGCGCACCATTTCCAGTCAACCTTCTGCCCACCCTTCAAAGGCTGATGCCAGCCGACAACAGAGCAGGGCTGATCAAGACTTGACTGCCATGTCTGGAATTCCTGCTCAGCCGAATCCAAATGACATCAAAACAGAGCCCGAAGAGGACAATCAATCTGGCGTGCTTTGGGAAAACCCAGAAGACAACAATGGCCTTCATTTGTCCACAACAGATGATGTTGAATTTCATCAGTTGTCTATGCTAGAATCTTTGGCAGGCCACTGGAATGATGATGGCAGCAGGAACCAGCACCTAATACCACAGTCCTTCACCAACAGCTCCACCGGCATCGCATCCAGTCCCCGAGAGAACTCAGACAGAGGTAAGCACCACTGCAGTCAATACATACGGTGGCGAGATGTTAATTACCTCACCTGGTATACAGGAGGTCGTGGGTTCGATCCTGACCACGACGCTACGTGTATATTTGGATTTTGCGTGTTCTCCCCGTGGTTGCGTGGATTTTTCTCCGGGTTCTCCGGTTTTTACCTCCACATTTAGAAACATGCGTCTAAAGTATTTGTTGCTCTAAATTTGTACGCGATAAGCCACTTGGTTGAGTTGTCATTTTTCTCCAGGTCGCTTCTGAAAAGGAGCTGTATAGCTGTGGGCCTTATCTATTAAAAACATTTCTAGTTTAGTTTAATACTTACAAATGAAAAAATCAAAACGGGCGCTTTTAGTGTTTTGTCGAAAAAATTGCATGCTCCGTTTTCGCTATAATTCTGCCACAGCAAAAATAAAGCCAATATTCACGGGAGGAAAGAGACTAGATGAACGAAATTTCATGCATTGGCACTGTACCTTGAAAATTCACATTGTCAATTTCACTGCCACAGAATTAGCCATGAAATCAGAACATTCGTCAGCTATGTGGAACAAAAAATACGCAAGCAGGATTGTCACGTGACTCGGATAGCCTTTGCTTATTTACTGAGTCAAAACCAAACTTGGGACTGTGGTGGGCACTTACCACGGCCACTTTTTGTCCAAGTATAAAAAGCGACGAGATGTGGCCCATGCACTTCTGTAGCAGATGCGCTTCACCATTGGAACCTCATTTGCCAGTAAAAAATATGATAATAGTTTTTTTACCCTTCCATCTGGCAACAAAACTGACTCTGATGGTGCATTGTCTTTGAGTTGTGCGCCTTTTGGCGTCATCTGGTCCAACCCATGTGAGACTAGGCTCTAAGGAAAGCTGTCTCCGGGTGTGGACCAAACAACTTCAAGGACAGTGCACATTATCAGAGTTATGTTTTTTGTTTGCATTATGACTGCAGGTATTGTGGTCTATGCAAATAGATGCGTTTCGTTGACATGTTCTGGCTTGACGGCATAGCCAGTGATAAGCAACTTGATGTGTTGTACTTGTGATATTCAATATCGGTGAAACTGCTATGCACCTTTGAGTTTTTGACATTACTGCCTTCAGACATTTTATATATCCTTTTTAATACATTGCCCACAGTGAATACTCTGTTCGGGCTGCAGGAAATTATGACGCACGCAGCCTAAATTTGGGGCTGGAAGAGAGTGCGTTCCCTGTTTTGTAGCAGGTAGCATTAAATACAGAACGCTTGGCCACAGTAGAGCAGATAGACAACAGACAGTAAGCAAGGCAGACAGATGCATATTACTTGTAGACATCTTTGTTCAAGCGCCTTCAACAAAACTAATCGTCTCTTGAATATGAAAAATATGATAATATGACCACAAACAGCCATTTGCATACAAATGAAAACTGGATTTCCAACCAAGACGTGGTTTGAAAAACTAAAATCTCCAGGATGCGCAGCGTGGCTTGGAACACAGATAAATGGATTCTTCGTGAGGAAAGCACCCTTGTGGCAATGTTGGTGTGTAGATGCTGTGTATTGTGACGTTCCAAGGTTTGGTATGCACGAGGTCGTGGTTTCGATCCTGACCCTGACGCCTTTATATTTGGAGTTAAAATGTCTCTCCCCCGTGGTCACGTGGATTTTTCTCTGGGTCCTCCAGGTTTTCCCTCTGCAATTAGAAGCATACTTTTAGAGTATTTGACTGCTATACATTTCGACATGTAAGCCACTTCTTTGTGCTATCATTTGTGGCCAGGTCGCTTCTGAAAAAGATCTATGTAGCTCAAGTGGACCTTACCTGGAAATATATAAATAGTTTAGTTGACATACTTTTAAGTGCATGTGGTTTGTCTGCTTCTGCAGGACTTGTCATGTTTATTATCCCTGTCTCCACAGAGGCTGTGTGCGATACGCATGACCTCAGCGTGCACCGTTGTAAATGTTCATGTGAGCCTCTGCTGCACTCCATTCTGCATGAACTGAAGAGCATCCGTGAACTCATGCAGTCACAGACAGGTGTGTGCTTCCTTGCGGGATTATGCTTGGTTCATAATGCATCACCGTACACGTGCCTTAATGGCTAGACGGCGCAGTTTAGATAAAGCTCTCATAACTCACGGGGCTTTAAAGGGGGGGGGGGGGCATCACCATTGTGGGGGACATTAATGGTGGTCATCGTTTTGGAAGACTGCTGCCTGGCAGATATTCTGGAATTTTCACCACTGGCTTTGGACGGCAGCCAGCATAGATGAGCACAATCCCGTGTGTCATCTGAGCATGCAGGCAAACTTGTACTTATATTGTAGTATACCAGGTTTGTTTTGTTTTATTACAACGTGAGTTTCTCTATTGAGCGTAAGTTATGTAACGGCATCGCGTGGCACTTGTGTGGTCCATAAACACGGAGGTGCATATATATGTAGATGCGAGGGGGGGAAACACTATCCACTACAGATCCACACTTGCTGTACTGCCTTCTCCTGGAAAGCCAGAGTATGGCACCTCGATGCCCACGGGGAAGGGAGTTTCGCAACGTTTGTGCGGTCTACCAACCCTTGCCTCGAAGTGCTGGTTTACAGCCCATGTGCCTAGCCACCAACAACCCAATGTTATCCTATTTCTATAACTGAGACGGTGTTGTTGCAGCTCACAGATTTACAGATATTTGTGAATGGAGTCACAATTTACACAGAATGTTAAGTCACTGGTGCAATGATCTAGATGTTATTAATTCTCACAATGTATTCTTGGAAATGTCAGTGCTTTACTTATATGGATATCTTTAGCATACAGTTTAAATTGTCAGTAGGTTTTATCATTGCAATGTTTAAAATACTTTGGTATAGTTTATTTGTCTTAATATAACCCACACCCTTCTGCTATTTCATCATGATTCTAATATGACAAGGCTTCAAGATTAATGGCAGGTTGAACAGTGGCACAGTGATTAGCGCAGTGCAATATGAACCAGGTGACCTGAGTTTGATTCCAAACGACGGCTAACATCAGTGGTGAATGATAGCGGAATCAAACCTGGGCCCTCCTTTTCACCACCATGCATTTAGCAACGTGGTGAAGTATGGGCCAAACAACCCCGCACGATCAAAGGCATGTGGAGGCCTTCTTCCAGCAGTTGACTGACAAATTGCCATCCAATTAATTCACATGAATTATGGCGGTAATTATAAATCTATTTCAATGGATACATTAAACGTCTCGGTATTCAATTTTTACTGTTCCGTTCTAGTCATCAACATTGTGATTCTGTTGATCGTCAATCATTCCAGTGTAATATGACGCTGAGCTTGCATTGTGCATCTCTGCACCCTGCGCTTCGTACCCACAGCTGCCCACCCAGACGTGTGCAACGCAGCCGTTCAAACAAACGCAACGGCGGACTCCTCCTCCGGCAGGGTCGTGTCTGGTGGTCACCTCATCGTCATCTCCGGCGGGCCGGCCCCAAGGCTGGCGGCGACGTTGGCGCCCGGCCAGATGCCCACCCCGACCTCCTCCACGCAGCTGTGCTCCAGCAGCATGGGCCTGACCAACGGCTCGCCGGGCACGCCGCTGAAAGCGCCGCATGGCAGAATCGCAAGTGCCGTAGGTCACGCACCGCTTTCGGCCGGAAACGGCTCCCGGCCGACCGCCCTCCAGTGGCGACGGGGCGGCTTTCAAAGTGGGGAGTTGCCCCATCTGCCCAGGCCATGCACCACCATCACCACTGCCGCCACCTTCTCCGCGATCGATTCAGGCCGCGTCGGCGGCAAGGGCCTCCGGCACCAGCCGGCGATCAACAGGGCCGGCTGCCTGGGATTGAACCTGAGTAGACACGGTCAGGTTCAAGTGCTCGGTGTCGATGCTGGCGCTGCCATCTTCCCGCAGGTGCATGCCGGCGGGCTCGATCGGGGCGGCGGTCGAATGGCACACTCGGAGCAGGCGCCCTTAGGGCAGGCGCTGCTGGGAGGCGGCGCTCCAGGGACTGCCTGCCGTCTCCCCGACACGCAGTGCCGACAAGCCTCCAAGATTAGGATTGAGAACGTGAAGACGTTGGTGATGGCGGCGGCTGCGGGGCCGATGGCGGGACCGGCGGGGTTAATGGCACAGGGCGGCAAGAAGGCCGTTCCGGCCGGGAAGCACACAATCCTAAGCAGGGCCGAGCAAGGCACCAGCAGATCCGTCGATTCGATGGAGAGGCCCGGCCCAAATTCGGCAGGTCTGGCCACCTCTACTCCTATATCACCAGTCGGGATCCAAGGTGAGTTAATATGCAAACTACTTGAATGTCATTGACCGCAAGTGATTTAAATTGCTTAATTTGAAACATATCTGAAGGGCATGATGAGTTGGCTGGGTGGCTAAGGCAGCAACTTGCTCATGTCCAGAGCACCCATGCCTACAGTGGCATGCACCTGTAATTAAGTGCATGAGAGGGGTGGGGTGGGTCGTTGGTGGGTCCCGTAGAGATCGTCATGTATATGAAAGACTGGTTACAACGTGGTCTTACCACAGTAGAAAATAGTGAGCCAGCACGACTGTCATAGGTTCAATTCTAGGCAGTCGCCAATGATTAAACCCGATTGTATGTATGTAGAACTTCTTTCGCAACCCTCGTAGTCAACCTTTCTCATCGGAGGTGCATAGCCAACCGTGCTAATCGTAGATTCTCAATTGTAGTGAGCTGATGGTCTCGCTCAATCATCAGTGACCATAGATAAGCATGTTTTAGTTCCATTATAAACATCTCTGAAAACATTGTATATTCCAAGCTTCTAAACAGTAGTCACATTTTATCCCATTAGTGGTCAATGTTTCGCATTAGTCGTCATCCGAGATGTGAGATTTGTTAAATGACACTAATAAAGAAAAACAACTTGTCTGGCCTTTCAGCAGACTGGCCGTTATCATGGTAGGGCAGCTGTTAAGGGGAAATATTATTTTCAAAATGTGCTAAACGCACCGAATTTCGTGGTAGTGTAGTTTACGACACATTGTGTCCTCAGAATGGGAGGCGTTAAAACTTCCCAGGTTCGTAAAAGGGTGTATAGTGCGGCTGTTAAGGTCAGGAGAACACGTTAATTATTAAAAATGTGATGAAGGCAGTCGCATTTGGCATAAAGACAAATACTTTCCCTGTGGGAGCCATTGCAATGTTTTGCTTTTTTGAGCAGAAACCTTTCCAAGAAATATGGGACTTTGAACAAAGGTTAAATCATATGGGTCCATGTTTCGCAAAATCAGTTTTTTTCCTGTTTACATAATAAACACAGTATTAAAAAGTAGCTTTTAACGTGTCTGACCTTTTGAAACAATCAAATTGACAGCTAAACCTAACTTTCTTAATTTGCCCCCCTAGTCCTATGATGTCATACAAAATACTGTTTTTTTTTAATGTTAGAATATCATGGGCCATTGTTTAATCGTGATGATGGCATCATGTAACTAGGCCGACAAAAGTCAATGTTTCGCTTATCGGGCGACATTATTCAACATTAATTTTGACACTTGTTGCTATTATGACATTTTCAAACATTCGTAAGACGTGCGCTGGCTTTTAGAGCTACACTGTGCCGTTATCGGCGTATTCATTGACGAGTGATTGTTGTTCAGTGGCGGCGGTAGATTGACAACGCTTCACCTGCGCAGCAACAGCAGCGGCAGCACTTTACCCCAACAGCATCGGAGCAAAAAACTAAAATCCCCCGTGTAGCCTTAACAGACTGTTGGGCAAGTTGCTGTTAGCGAGTAGCACCTATGAAAGCCGGAATGGCACACGAGGGGGTGGGTGACCAGCACCACGCCCGGCCGCTTTTGTCCACCCAGTAGCGATGTTTACACATCGCACCAGGTACTCATTTGAGGCTGAGTTGACCTTCAGGAGCCCCAGGACCGATTCAGATAAGCGTCACTGCCGTTGCCTGTGAGCGGGAATCGAACTCGGGTCCGCCGCGTTCATAGCGCAGCCTGCTAATCGCTACACTACCGCTCCTCTACCTAGACTGAGGGGCCAACTCACAGCTATCTCCATTGCTTATTTATAAAACCGAATCCACCGCCCAAACCATGGCAGCAGATGCGGATACCTGATGTACATGTGTCAATTTAAAAACTCTCCAATTGTGTGCCTCTGTGGTCGTCCAAAACAGACCGTACAGCATATAATGACACGATCACGCGATCCACAAATACGAAGGTGTCATCACGGCGATCCACTCTGCTGCTCCTAATGTGGTTGTCTGGCTCGACCACCTTGATGTGAAATTGTAGTTGTTGCTCTACATCTACATCGGCATCCATACAAAAGCTGATGTGCTCACCTCCCCCCCCTACATGCGTGCATCTGCTTTGTCCGCGCACCCGTCTTTAACAGCGTACAGGTTTCAGGCTGGCCCGGGGCTGTACACACAACTGAATTCCAGCCTGAAGTTCAAACTGCCACGCTTGGAACCAGCCCAGCCAGTCCGATTTCATAGTCTGGCTACCTCAATAAAACGCAGAATATATCTGGGTTTGGCATCATTGATGACATGGTATCTTTTTCCTGCTTTTGAAAGGAAGGTTTGGCAGTCATTGCTTGCAATAATTCTAAGTATCTAAGTGAGAATGTATAGCTATATCATTCTTAAAATGTACATTTTAGTGGTTTAATGCCTATTTTTTTTTAGGGTGCCATGGTGGCGAGATGTTAACTACCTCGCCGAGCATACAGGCGGTAAAGGGTTCGATCCCGACCCTGACGCCTGTATATTTGGAGTTTGCATGCTCTCCCCATGATCGTGTGGATTTGTCTCCGGGTCCTCCGGTTTTTCCTTTTTACACATTTATAAACATGCTTTTAGGTTATTTGGCCGCTATACATTTCCAAGTGATAAGCCACTTCGTTGAGATATCATTTGTGGCCAGGTTGCTTCTGAAAAATACCTATACAGCGCAGTGGGGCTAACCTGGTATAATAAAAAAAGATATTTTCGTTTTTAAGTTTTTTTGGTTATACTTTTTTTTATGTAGCTTGGGTTTTTATTTTATTTAGACAGTTGTGTATACCTTGCTGTTTACTTTATAAACATTCACAACTGAATACTTGGGATTTTTTTTTATCTCCGCTTGAAGTACAAGCAATGACTGCCAATCTTCTTGGAAGCAATACACAAAGATGCGACGTCACGTCCGGGTAAATTTCGGGTTATTGGGATAGCCTGACTACTGAAGTCGGGCTGCCTTTGCTGGCAATGGCCACCAACCTAGCAAGGACAAGTCCACTATGACTTCACACCCGAGTAAATCTCTGTTATTATTCACATTAGCAGTCTTGTGGACATGACACTTACACGGGCTGTATGAGGTTCAACGATTATCACAGTTGGCTACGTACGGTGCGAAAGAAGTTCATATGGATGCCCATTATTAATGAACAATCCTATCGCCCTGTTGGTTGCCGCAATGCAAGTTGGGTTTTTTTCATGCCGACTCCACTGTTGGACATCTGTGTCTGGTTTTTGTCATCTGCTTTGTGGGAGCTCTGAGAAAATTAGGTATCCGTAAATATTCTTGTTGTTCTTGCACAAGTCTACTGGACAAAGATGTGCTGTTTTTATTTTCAACGTGTACGATAATTTAGTTTGATGTGTAATATATTCTAATCGTTTTAAGCCAATTTTTTGTGGTTTCCGTTTAGTGTTGAGAAAATGATGAGAGGAAATATATAAAGAACTGATGTGGAATATATTGCTAAAAATATTTGCGGAGTGAAATAAGCAAGTGCTTATTATATCAGTGTGTTGTACATTTTGTCAGCTACCCAGACTGCCATGCAGATAAATTATTTCATAGCTAGAGGCTCAAAATAAATTAATGGTTTCAAAATTCTTTGAATGCTGGAGAAAACTGATGATGGCATTTTTTTAAAGAAAACATTCTTAATATTTTATGTATATTTTAATCAATGGTCTCTAGACGACCCAGAGTAGGAAGTCTGCAGAACATGTCATTTGCAATAGCCGTTCTTTATTTGCCATTAGAATAAAATGACGCTCGCTCTCTGCTTATGAATCATACCTGATGTGTGTGTGTGTGTGCGCATTGCGGCATCTTGAATTTAAATGTGGGCTTCCAAACGATCGTGGGCGTTATTAATGCACCTCCAACATTCCTATACAACAAAATTACTGCACCGTTACGCAGCCGGGCAGATTAACCGACAAACTATACCACGCTTCAATGTCCAAGCCACAAAAGTTCATTATTAATTCCGTCGTCTTTGCAAATTATATCCCTCCTTAGCTTCACCTACACCTCTGATTAAATATTTTATCTAAAATAATTGGAAAAATGTTTTTCCTCTTAAGTTCACCTTTACGTGCGCTCGCATGGCTTGGCTATTTAATGCTGGAATGTGTTTAGTTTTGGATTTGGAAGGAGATTTTCAATCCCTGAAAAAGCAAATAGTTCCGCTTTTTTTTTCGTTGCCATCATACTTGAATTTAAAGGGCACTTGGGTCTGGATTACGCTGAGCAAAGTGTAATTGCCTCGTTGTAATGACTACTTTGGAAAGTTCACGAGTATAGGTTTGCGCTGGAAATGTTTGGTTATTTTTCCATAGATGGCTCGATGACAGCACGGGGGTTAAATCCCACATTAATTATTAAGCCAGCAACGTTGAGACCTATAGGCTTATTTTATGGTTCACCATTCAGACTCTTTAAGTGTTTTCACACTTCTTGCTTTTTGAGTGGAGGTAAAAAAAAAATTATTTACCCGTGCTTTAAATTATAACAAAAATTGAATGAGAATTTTGTTTTAATATATTTGGCAAAGTGTTCAATTGGTTGGAGCCAGAAAAAACTTGTATTTGGAAAAGTTACGTGTTCAAATGCCGGTCAGAGGTCGACTCGACCCCATGCCATAATGTATGCACTGTCCTTACCAGAGTTGTCTTTTTGTTTTTATTTTGACCGCAAGTGTTGTTGTCAATGCAAACATGATCCCTTGTATAAAGTTGTCAGTTTGTTGCCAGATTAAAGGGTAAAAACTATTACTATATCTTGCTACTGGCAAAGGAGGTCTCGTAATGTAAATGGCTCACCCCGAGCTCTCAATTCTCTGATGGTGCGTTGTCTTTGAGTTGTGCGCCTTTTGGCGTCATCTGGTCCAACACCATGTGAGACTGGGATCTAAGAAAAGCTGTCTCGGGTGTGGACCAATCAATTTCAAGGACAGTGCATATCATTATCAGAGTTGTCTCTTTTTGTTTGCATTTTGACCGCAAGTATTGTGGTTAATGCAAACATGATCCCTTGTATGAAGGTGTCAGTTTTGTTGCCAGATAAAAGGGTAAAAACCTATTACTATTACCATTCATTAAGACGTTAGTCGCGAGAGTGGGCAATGGTGTTCTGAATTTTCCATTTGTGAAACATTACCTGTATATTACTCAATTGGAATTATACACAGCAACAATCGCCCCCCCCCCCCACTGCCAAAAACTTGCTGGACAGTCCTGAAAAACGCTCATGAGACCCAGTGAGGCTTTCCAAGGTTAACGAGCTAAATAATTACGTAGAAACTACTATTTTAACTATTATTTTACCAGGTAAGGCCCACTAGCTATATAGCTCTTTTTCAGCAGCGACTTGGTCACAAATGATAACTCAAAGACGTAGCTGATCATATGTAAATTTACTACTGGTAGGAACCACCTGGTTCCACCTGCCCACAGGGGATTATTGTGTCCGTCCGTCGTGCATCCAAAAATGGGAGGGGATGGGCTGGTCACCCCGTGGTGCCCTTATAAAACTAAACGTTTAACCTACTCACGCCGGCTTGTGCCCACCCTCACAGTCAGCCATATTTGCGGAATACACCACGCCGCCGTTGACCCTGGCCATTGACTGAGCAACCCAACATTCCTACCAGCTCCCTCCGCAGGAATGAAGTTCTTAAATGCACGTTGTTTATAAATGTGGAGGGAAAAACCGGAGGACCCGGATGAAAAAGATCCACGCGACCAAAGTGAGAGAGAGACACGCAAACTCCAAATATACAGGCGTCAGGGTTGGGATCGAACCCATGAAATACCAGACGAGACGGTTAACATCTTGCTACCGGTGCGCCCTTGCCTTGCCTGTATGCGTGTCCCACTTTAGAAAGGAACAGCATTGCTTTGGAAAGTCCTGGTAACCCTGCGTTGGAAAACAGCCTGAAAGATGGTGGCCACTTCACCGAAAACTGCTTCTACTCCCTGGGCCACTCGCCGCAGAGTGACTCCACAGATGTACGTACACGCGGCTGCCTGCAGGTGGCCTTCACACCCGTCGACACTCATTGGAATTACTGATTGGAATTACAGAGGGAGAATACGTGGATTGCCGTCAAATAATATAACCTATGTATGTATGTTGAACTTCTTCTTGGTTCTTTCGGTAAAGTCACGTAGAATGGAAATATTTTTATTATTTTATTATTTCCATTCTACGTGACTTTACCGAATGAATGCCCATCACGTAAAAATGTGATGAACACAAATAGATTTGCAGAATGTCAATAATCAGAGGGGAAATAATCGTTCACCCTATATAGCAAATGACCGTCCGATTAGCACGGTTGGCTACGTACGGTGCGAAAGAAGTTGAACATTCATACTGTGCCTAGAGCCCCGTGTCTGCCGGCTACGACGCAACACTGTCCCAGGAATACATGCGTACAGCATACCCAAGCAATGGATAATTGCAGGGTTGATCAAAGTTACTCAACTATGGACTCTCCTTAGCCCCCCGGGTCGTCCACCTCAGCTGTTCGCTGACCCCGCCGCCATTTTTTTGCGCGCGCGTGTTTGCATCCGGTCGGCTGACCCGCAGCTCGCCGTACAGCTGGCCGACGGCTACAACGTCTTCATGGCGCGCTCGCAGCTCGAGGAGATCCTGATGCACTACACCCGCTCGGGCAGCCTGCTCTTCCGCAAGCTGGTGGCCGCCTTCTTCGACGACCACACGCTCGCCAACTCGCTACCCAACGGCAAGCGCAAGCGCGGCTTCAACGACCCCCGCAAGGGCCTGGAGCCCAACATCGTGGCCGCCATCCGAAGTGCGTACACCCCCGCGTACACATCCCCTTGACGGGGAGATGGGAGATAGGGGCGGCAATGGGCATATTTCTCACGGGGGACCCCCCCCCCACCCCGATGTCTGCTGTCTTCTATATCCTCATCTAGTTTACGTTATAAAAAAAAATCTGCTTGAGCTAACTATAGGTGTTTTTTTTTAACGTTGATTTAGGTTTGTGCAATGTTGTTTATCGAATATTGATCTTTAAAAAGTATTCAAGAGAGCTGTTTCCATAGGCAATGCACATCAGGAGCGCTCCGATTGGCCGAAAATTGGCGGCCGTAATATCGTAAACATCGTTAATCGAAAATGTACCGTTAACAGAAACAATGGGACCCGATGGGAGGCAGATCGTTAATCTAAATATTGTTAATTTATGGCATCGTAAACCGTGGGACCACTGTATTTATTTTCAGATGTTCTGCCCCAACAGGAGAGAAACTCGCGATACAAATTATATGAAGATTTGAGATGGTCCCAAAACATTTTCCAACATCTCGGGTGTGATTGCTTCAAATGTTTCTGTTTTGTCCTGTAGAACGCCACTCAGTAATGCTCGCTTTAAAGGACGCAAATAACAGTAATATAAATGGGCCAACCTTCATGGACACCTTGTATATCCCAATTGTCCATTCTTGGTCATTCTAAAATTTAGACAAATATATTTACCATGCAGTGGCCAACAATGCTTGAGTATTACTCAAAAGAGAATACTCTAGAGCAGCGGTCGGGAACCTATGGCTCGCGAGCCCATATATGGCTCTTCCAGTGACGGCATATGGCTCCCAGACAATTTTGAGTTGAAAAAAATAATAATAATAAAAAAATAAAAAATCAGTTTGGAACTGATTTTAAAATACTTGTGATATTGCTTAATAATACTGTGTCATTTTAAAGTAAACAGAAATTAGTTTTGAAGATAAATTTCACGGGTCACGCCTGCACGAAGCTCAACCTCGCCACGTATGAACCAGACTACAAGGCCATCAGCAAAACCATGTAGCACCAGAAGTCGCATTAAAAGTAAGACATATTTAATTTATTATACGTTAAAAATACTATATGGCTCTCAATGAAATATATTTAGAAATATTTGGCTTTTATGGCTCTCCCAGTCAAAAAGGTTCCCGACCCCTGCCCTAGACAGACATTGGTATTGCATTGTTTTTTTCCCACCGTTCCCTTTCTTAACGGAACACACAGGTGTTGATGGTAATGAGCAAACCCTACCGTGATATATCAGCCTGACAAAAATAGCCACACCGAACTGCACACAGAACACTTAAATATAGCAGCACTTGTGGACTGCCGGTCGCGATAAATACAGTCATTACCGACGACACCACAATGCTACGAAAAAAGTGCTTCTTATAAACACTCACGCCGTATATGAACCACACTTGATATTTGTCATCTTCAGCAGATGCTTTTTAGATTTATGTAGTGGGTTCAACTGATTCGCAGACGTAGACTTGGAGGCAACACATTTATTCAACTCCAACACACGGGGTAATTTTCCCCTTAACACAATAACAACCTATGGTGGTGACCACCAGGCTAACTACACTAGTTACTACGTGACTGGTGTAGTTAGCCAGGTGGTGACCACCAGGCTAGCTACACTAGTTACCACGTGACTGGTGTAGTTAGCCAGGTGGTGACCACCAGGCTAGCTACACTAGTTACCACGTGACTGGTATAGTTAGCCAGATGGTGACCACCAGGCTAACTACTCTAATTACAACGTGACTACTACTACGGACCGGGACCAACAGCTGGTGTCCAGATCCACGTGTTGGAGACTCGTTGAACAGAGAACGTAGATGAAGGTTTCTTCCAGGATGAACAACAACGCCGCTCCCTCTCGGGGACCCGGCTTATATTCTCTGCGGCGTGCCTGGCTCCCCCCTTGGCCACGACCACCTTCTAGAATCCTCGGGAAGGATCTGGGTCCCCATCACGTGACCACCCCTAGCCCCCACTTGGGCCCCTTTGTCGACTTAACTGGTCACGTGCCCTCCCGGGTCAACCAGAGTGCCATGGCCTCGAGTAACCTCATCCTTCGGCCGGCACTCACACACCCTGTCCTGTAAGGGCTAGCACTGCACGCAAATCGTGGTGCTATCTAGCGCTATCAATCGGCGCTCACCGGGCCCCTCTAGGGCCGGTACTATACCCACACCTTTGTTTGTGTCCGCGATGTCGTTACACCGCACACCGTGCTTCTCTCGGGCCGGCACTGCACGTTGACATCCCGCGATGTCACTACATCTATATACTGCTCGATTAATGCTTCTTCACAACATCGCTATCCATCACGGTCCTGCGATGTCACAAATCCATCCCGGTCCACTTGTATGGGCTGATCATATTGCTCCGTGACCGTGGCGGTCATCTTCTTGGGTGTGTCCCCCCCTCCTTCGGCTGCTACTCCGTCATTCCAGACAATCCGCCGTCATCCCTGCTAACGATGTGCCCCGCCCAAAGCCCTCTCTTGATAAGTCACTATGATGTCTTGACACGTAGGCTTTCGCGACCAATATTATTCATAATAAATGTTTTTGGGTTAGATCACGTTATTTATAAATGTGTCGTAACCCTCCACCACCCGACACGGCCAATCAGCAAAAAAGTGTTAAGTTGACAAAAACCAAATAGTTCACTACTTTAGTCCACCGGTGTGTTGAAGAGTGAATCCACAACATTTACAAAAAACTATTTTTTTAGTACGTTTCGCTGGTCATTACATCCAGCATCATCGGGCAATTCGGCAATTCGCCCGATGATGCTGGATGTAATTACCAGCGAAACGTCGTACTCAAAAATTGTAAATGTTGTGGATTCACTCTTCAACACACCGGTGGGCTAAAGTAGTGAACTATTTGTCTTTTGTCCACGTGACACTTTTTTACTGATTGGCCGTGTCGGGTGGTGGAGGGTTACGACACATTTATAAATAACGCGATCTAACCCAAAAACGTTTATTATGAATAATGTCCTGAGTCTGCGTATGTCCTCTAATCCGTATGTTATTTCTTGTTATATCTAGAAAGCATATCGCCATGCTAGCTTAGAGTTCAACGTTTTCCAATACATATGTTTAGAAACATGCGTTTAGAGCATTTGGCTGCTATACATTTTCACGTGATAAGCCACTTCGTTGAGTTATCATTTGTGGCCAGGTCACTTCTGAAAAGGAGCTGTATAGCTCAGTGAGCCTTACCTGCTAAAATAAAAAATTGATTAGTTTAAATTGATAAAATATACACCATCAAAGTTTGCTCTGTCCTACATTGTGTAAATACAGGGCATGCACAACACGAGTGAAATTTGACATCTGAATTTTGGCACTGGAAATGCCTGTTGCCGACTCATCCCAAAATGAGCACTGGGTGCATTGCGTCACCGCTAGCGCTGGAGACATAAATATGGCCATGCATGGTGACCACATGATCCCCATTGTGTGCCTGTGCCATCCTTGATAGGTGATCACTTAATAGCATAAATGTTAAATTATAGAAAGTCCAGTTTGTGACAGTGGCGTGACATCTCAGACCGTGCAACATCTTGTGAACGGCTGCCCCAATCGGATCATTCAACGGCAGATCTGAATCATATCCACGCGGCTACTCCTGAAGCAGTCGAATTGATCTCAGATCTCGACATCAATTTGTAAATCTGTTACAATCCCCGAAAATTCCATACGAAAGAAGACGACTAATAGCACTTTCTATAGAAAACGATCAATATTGTATTTGTGTGCTTGTGTGTCTATGCTTGTGTGTCTATGCTTATTTCTCTTACTTGATACAGCTATCGTGCTGTGACGGTTCCACCTGAAGACGAAAGCTTGTGTTGCCTCCGAAACGTCGTGCTTTTTATTTTATTTTTATTTTACTTTTATCAATTTAAATTTTTTACCTACGTGACTTTACCGAAAAAACCTAAAAGTATGAATCCTTGCAGTCACGAAAGCTTCAAATTTAGAATAAATGCTTATTATGCTTTAACTACTGTATTTGAATTGGCTGGTTGCAGAGGGATATGGCTGTAGAGCACTTGCCTCCAATTAGAAGGTTACTAGTTTAGCATTTTGGTCATAGGTTGGCTCAATCTTCCATCCTTTAGGTGACGTTTTGGGCAAAGCCCTTCACAGGAATGTAGAGGCCAGAGATGTGTGGCCTCTATGTTCTGGACAGAAGGGCCATTGCCTGAAACGTTGCCTATTGTCTACCTTTTTCTTTGAAGGTCACAGTGTTTTTGACAAATGTGGTGAGTTTGCAGCAGCAGCATCATCACAACCAAATAAGCCGTCCTTTCTCTGTGGAAAGTCCACATCAGTAGTCCTGTGTTGACTAGCTCCCACTCACCGTAAGTAAGAATGTGAAATTTACTCTGGTTCAGTGCTGTCAACACAGATGAACGGCAACACGTTGCTCGTTTGAGCAGGGAAAAACAATACGTTGATTTGATGTCTGTACGAATGTTGAACTTCTTTCGCGTCTTACGTAGCCAACGACACTCATCGTAAGCGTGACTCTTAACATTGCGTTGTAAGAGTGCATTTGAACATTGTGTTGCATTGCTGAGTTATGCAAAGTCACGATTGTGGTGCTTGTTTGCAGGCTTCACGGAGAGCTACTGCGAGAATAAAAAGATAATGAAGCTACCAGGACCGAAAGATTGGGTGCAACTCTTGCAGGACCAGATAAAGCTGGCTCGTCGCCGCATTCGCAGAGGTGGGCTCACATTGTAATATGTTGGGAGTGAGGTGCAATCGTTATCTCTCTGTTCACACACATATATATCATATTAAATTTTGAACACGGCAAGTCCTCGCTCAACACGTTGTCACACCAGCGCTTTTTCGCTACATCGCAGTTCTTCTATTCGGCGACACTTTTCGCACGACATGGAACGCGTGCACCATTATAACGCAGTTGCCAAGTGGTCAATGACGAACTACTTTCTTGAGCTGCTCGGCCGAGTTGTGTGATGAAGTAAAGGACACTAATCACCCTCGTCTCAGGTCTTTTAAAGTGCAAATGTGATTTAGTAGCTTGGTAATTCCTCGCCTAACGCATTTTTGCTAAACGCAGAACTTTTGAGGAACGCATCTACCGCAATAAACGTGGTATTTACTGGATACATATGACATTTTATTTACTGTACCTTTTTTTCTGGATGCGTGCTACACATTTATCCTTTACTTCACAAGGCTTTATGCCACCTGATAGGAAGAGAGAACGTTTAGCAAAGGTAGGCTTTGTGTCATGACAATAGCCCATTGATCTGACCTCGTGAATGGATTCTTGTTGGAGAAATTGGTTACTCTGTTTGTCTACAGTTATCATTGTCTCTCAATCGAATGAATAGCACTCGGGGAGACTTGAATTTTTTTATTTTAAAGACAAACCAGTGTGTGTGTGTGTATGTATTTACCGTGGGGAGCGGCATTGGCGTCACTAGGGGGGTGAGGGGGGTGTGGACCGCACCGGGTGACACCATCAGAGGGGGTGACCCCCAATATGACTGCAGTTTTTCAGAAGAAATTAATTTTTTATAAAAATATTCCGCAGTTATAACAACAAAAATATTTTTCGTAAGCCCAGCTTACATGTGTCGTGAGCGACTTCAGAGACGCATCGAGTAGAAGACTTATTTATTAAGAGCACACTGAGCGATACATTGTGTAACACAGCTACACATGGGCGATCCTAACACGTAGCCCCATCTCCGACTTCGCTACACAAGCTGTTCGACCAGCAACGGCGACGGAGAGAGCCTTCCGGAAGATCAGGCACGTGGTCCCCCTTATATCTGCCCCGGCGCGGTCAAGCTCCAACTCTGGCCACGCCCACTTTCCAGAACCTTCCAGCTGGTTACCGGAGCTTCTCGACTTACTCCGCCTTTCACCTTTTCCCCAGATACGCCCCCCCCCCCCCCCCCCCCGTATAATAAGGCAATTATGTAATGCAGCCATGACCGTAATTTCCACTCCCGGCAGACAGGTGTCACCCTGTCATTACACATGTACTGTATCAATATACCTACAAGGCTAAAACTGTATGCTAATTTGATTTTTGAAACTTCTAATGCGATCCGGTCATAGCTGTCATTAGTACCCCAACTACAGTGACGCTTCGAATCACGTGGTTTCGTCTGCAAGCGCCACAAGCACGCGCTGTTGTTTTCGTTGCTGCTGGTGTTTTTATAGTCACTGATTTTGACAAATTTTCTGTTGTTTTAGCTACAATGTAGCGGTAATTAGTATTTGTGAACCTATAACAATAACTTTTTTGAGAATGAAGTAGTAATTCAAGGAAAAGGAGTAAAATCAAAAAACGCTTTTGCTCAGTAACTAATATTGTTTTAACTAATAATGTTATTCAATGTAGAAAGATTTAACAAAAATGTTTGTTAATCATACAATCTAAGAAATAGTACATTTGAGCAATGTACAACTATATTTATTACATATTATTCTATGATAAAAAATTCTAATAAACTTAAATGTAGAACAATTATTGATTACTCACGGGAAGTACCCGGCATTGCCCGGGGGGAAAATATATTTCAAAACTTCTCTTAAAAACATAACAAAAACATACACGAATGCTAAGCGATTGTGAAAGCCCGGCATGCCGTTTGTCCATCAACAAAATTATTAGAGCCTTGCAGAAGTCTAAAAAGTTATAGAAAGTGGGGGGTAAATAGTTGCTCTAAAAGGTTTCTGCAAATTGTTAAACCCCCCCCCCCTCAAAAAATATTTTGACTCCCGCGTAGGCATATTTCCCTAAAAACCCTACATACAATAAAGTGAGTATCTACTGACTCTAGTAGTATCTGACTCGAGAGTAGTATCTGGCTGTACAATAGTATCTACTGACTCTATAGTAGTATCTGCTGACTCTGTAGTTGTAACTACTGACTACAGTAATATCTACTGAGCCCAGTAGTATCTACTGACTGTATAGTAGTAACTACTGACCATAGTAGTATCTACTGACCCTACAGTAGTATCTACCGACTCTATAATAGTAACTACTAGCTCTATAGTAGTATTTTCTGACTCTGTAGTAGTATCCACTGACTATAGTAGTAACTACTAACTCTAGTGGTATCTACTGACTGTAGTATTATCTACTGACCCTACAGTAGTATATACCGACTCTATAGTAGTAACTACTAACTCTATAGTAGTATCCACTGACTACAGTAGTATCTACTGACTCAATAGTACTATCTGCCGACTCTATAGTAGTATCAACCAACTCTATCGTCATAAATACAGCCTCTACAGTAGAATCTGACTATAGTAGTATCTCCTGAATCTATAGTATCTATTGACTCTATCGTAGTATCCACTAACTATAGTAGTAACTACTAACTATAGTATCAGCTGACTCTATAGCAGTATCTGCTTACGCTATAGCAGTATCTACTGACTCTACAGCAGCATCTACCGACTCTACAGTTTTATCTACCTACTCTATTAGTCGTATATACCGACTCTATAGTAGTATCTATCGACTATATAGCAGTTAACTACTAACTTAACAGAGTGTCGTGGTGAGGCCTAGTCCCGTGCAGAGCCCCCATTTTCACTTTAACCACATGAAACTATGTAAACGTAAATACATTTAGGCTGTGCGTATGATATTGTCATTTTAAGGTGTCATTTAAATTTTGCTATTTGTTTATGTCACTACTATTGCCATTACATTCAGTGATATATGGGAATTACGAGTAACATTAGTACGACAAACATTACTAAAGATGCTGTACGGTCTGGTACGGGCGGAGGTCCATGGGGGGTGACACCACGAGTTACCGCACTGAGTGACACCAACCCTAGTGACACTACTAGGGAGCGGTAGTGAGCGGTCAGCGTGCTGCGCCGAGTTACTGGACATGAAACCACCAGCTCAGGCCAACCAACGCGCATATGAGCACTCATTGGTGTGGCAAAGGTGCGATGCCCCCATCGACAAATACAAAGGAGACATCACGGCAATACCACTCCACTGCTCCTCTCCTCCTGATGCGGTTGTCTGACTTGAATGTGAAATTGTAGTCGTTGCTCCCCGCATCTACATCGGCCGCCGTATGACAATAAGAAGACCTAAGAGTGCTGGCACGGAGACAGATTTGCTCCCCGTTGGTTTATTTGAATAATGAAACGATCGCCTTGTGTTTTTCAGTGCCTACACACAACATGAGGCTGCAGGACGCGGCAGAGGCGTTTAAAGAAGAGAAAGTGAAGTTGGAATGAAGGGAGTCATCGGCGCTTTAGACCACCCGGCACTGTGAACAAATTTAACACTCGCAGACAATTCACTTTGCAAAAAGGGGGACAGCTCTGCTTTCTTACTTTCTCAAAAAGTTCAGAGGTGGTGTTGTGTAATGTTTACAGTTTTTTTTATGAGTGTAAACACTGGATAAGAGGTTTGATTTTTAATCAGAGTTCTTTGTAAATAAACACCAACACAAAAAACTAGCGGAGGGTTTTTTTTTTGTTAAGTTTTTTTTTTCAAAGAACCCCCATCGCTTCCCCCGTCACACGACAAGCACTCATTTTATAGACGACATTGGTCAAACATCCAGCTGCAAAAAAAATCCTGGAAAATAGAGAGAATCCTGCACTCGTTGATGCTTTCCATTATAAATATATATTTGATTACTGGGTAATTAATATTTAATAAAAAGGTGAATTTTATTTTAAAAAATTGGTTGCACTGCAGACTAATGCCAACCCGAAGCCAGAATTTTGTGGCGCTTACGTGCGCTCGGCTCTGCAAGAATTGCAGAATCGTTGAACTGGGTCCTGAAGTTGTAAATCGACATCAGTGTGGGCATATGCTATCGTCATCTTTAGCCCTGTTCTATCCACTGCTGGATGAAAAGCTCCCCCCATCCCCTTCACCCCCCCCCCCCCCCCCCCACTGCCACTCCCATCACCAGTCTTCTTCACTGCCATCAACCCATCTGGCAGTGTGACACGCCCAAGGCCAATTGTCCAAACGGTCACTTCGCTTTGTCCTCTCATCCATGTTGCTGTGGCCCTCTTTTGGTCTTGCAATGTAATTTCCAGATTTTCCATTTTTCTGTGTCATTGTCCACGTTCCTGTTCCCATATGTTGATAGCAGGGAACTGGGACTGATTGTAAAACCTCCTTCTTTAGGCACAAGGGATTGTTGCTCTCCGTTGTCACGTTGTGTTTCACTGGCATTTCCAGCCTGCCCTTGCTTGTATTTAATTATCGTGATACATTTTGTGGGTCCCATGCCGAACACCGCAATAGACTATGCAGATGCGAGACCTGGCGAGAGATAATGGAGCAGATTGCCACCACGATTATTTGTACGAGACCTTTGGGTGTCTGGTCGTAAGATATATTAAGTCTGACCACCCGGTAGCTATTTATATCCCATTGCCACTGTTGTGGACTCCAAATATTGAAAATACCTGCTGAGGATGCCTCAAGGACCCTAACATAACACCCAAGTTCGGTGTCCTTGACGTGGCCGTTGGAGCATTTCTCCTCTAAAGCGAGTGTCATGCGCCGCTGCTGCTGTCGGGATTTTCAGAAATTGAAAATGTAACGGTTAAAAATAAATACAGCAGCTGTGAAAACGTACGTGTTAAACGAGACGGAAAGCTCTGATTATGTTTGTTTTTAATCGAGAACCTCTTGTGTATCCTGATGGAAACTGTGGATGTGCCAGTTCGGGTTATTGTGGATGCGGTTGCTGGTGGTGGCACGAAGCTGCCTACGATGGCGGCGATGCTCTTTAGATGCTGGTAATGGTGTCGGTGCTGTTAACGATATAGGGGCGGTAGTGTAGCGGGTATTGTAGCGGTTAGTGCACTGCGCTACGAATCCGGTGACCCAAGTTCGATTCTCACTCACGGCCAAACCCAGTGGCGATTTTCTGAACCGGTCCTGGGCCTCTCCTAGGTCGACTCGACCTCAAATGAGTACCTGGTGCAGTTTGTAAATATCGCCACTCGGGAGATAAAGGCAGCCGAGCGTGGTACTGGCCACCCACCCCCTCGTGCGCCGTGCTGGCCTGCAAAGGTGCTCGCTAACAGTACTTGCCCCTAAAGTCTGTCGAGGCTATACGGGGGATCCTTGGCTTTGCTGTTATCGATAGTGCTTCTAAATGATGGTGGCGCTGGTGCTCGCATCGAATGAAGCTGCTCAGTCGGCCCGTTTCGTGAATTTCTGACGATGTGTTGTGTACACGGCCGATTCTCCGGGGTCACCGTGTAATTGGCTCGCTCTTTTATGCCAAGACAAATCACGAGACGTTTAGCAACAAATGCAAGCCTCTTGCCAAAAGTGGCGCATTGTCTCCATCCCGCTCCCAAACGTCAATGTAAACATTTTTGGGGTTTTCTTTTAGGCTTGCAGAGAGTTGCCGTATTTCCAGGCTATAAGACGCTCCTTAAACTCATGTTTCACCACCAAACGCGTGTGTCCGGTTCAAAATTTGGATACCCACACCGACCGGGCGCACACCCAACTTTGCTTTGGAATACCGGGGGTGGGGGGGCATCTTATATTATCCAGAAAATACTTTCGTTATTTTACTTGTTACGGGCAAGTGGTGAAGCAGTGTCGGAGCAATTTCGTCCAATGCTAGAGGCCGAGCACGTGCTATTATAGCAGTGGTGACACAGACGGTGGCACAGCACACAGTTGGCATCGCTGTTTGTAAATATTGCTCGGTTTAGTATCGGTCCATTGCCATTGTCTTACAACATTGTCAATGTTATAAACGTCGCGGCGATCACGAGTCTTGAAGAGTTATTCATATCTACGGCCGCACGAAAGATTTTGGACGCAGCGGGAACTGCCTGTTTGCGATCTCGCAACATCGCATCCCCATGTCACAGTGTTCAACGGAGATGGTTTTAGAGGAGACACGGCTCTGTGATCCTCCCATAAAAAACAACTGTAGTGCCATTCACTGTAAGCATTGTGTGTGTATATATATCCAATGCAGTGTGTAGCATATTCCGCTTCTGAGAATCGGAATACTTAAGTGTGAGAATACTTTACCTGAAAGGTATACTTCGTGCGTTCGCTGCGTTATTAACAGTACAGTATTTTTTAGACTCGAAGATGAAGCCAGCCCCCCCCCCCCCCCTCTATTTTTGAACCTTTTACAGTCAATCGATGGCTGAATGCTGTTTCAAATGACGCGTGCACCTTGTGGGTTTAATCATTCTCGCTACAATTCACGCGGCGGAGGCCCCGCCCGGCATAGCTAGTTCAGTTTTCTCGCTCGTGTGATGCCATCATCGTTGAAAATATGACGAGGTGTAACTCTGCAAAGTGTGTATTTATTGTCAAAAGATGTTTTATCGCAGAATTGTTTTCAACGCTGAGTTAAAAATTCTTCGACATCTTGGCCATTGACAAAATTTGAGGCGCGGGCCTTTTTGAACGGGTCATAAAATGATGCGATGTACTTTTCTTTATTTTTTACGAGAAGTGCCCCGAAGTTGTCCAGTGCCCTATGAGGGTCAAAGTGAAGCATCCAATCTTTGTTTGCGAACGGAAGTGTGAATCGCAATGTCTTCTTTTGAGCAACATTCCCCCGAAACGCGCACACTTTGCGCATTCTACAGGAGTTAACTGCACGCAGACGCACTCAAGAGGCGCGTGTGCGCATGAATTCGGTTTCATAGCAAGGAAAATAACCTCGGAAAATGGTCTCTTAAACTGGGAAATCATACATGGCTACTAACATCATTACGGTCCATATTTTGATTGGAAGGAGGCCATTATTAACGTGGATTGCAGAGGGTCGTGGTACTTTGAGGACAAATTAAATGTGCTTTATTAAGGCGACGATGTTGCGTAGGTAATTCAGTCAAGCTATTTACGTGCCGTGTTGAAATTTGGAGCACTTTCCTTCGGAGATATGTCAGGCCCTGTATTATTAATATAGAACAGTATAATATAAATGTAGACGCAATAGACTGCTGTGGCTGAGGGCCTGTTTACAAAGACCCTCCCCCTGCTGTTTGTCAGATGAAGAGTGACTTTATGTGCATCTTCGGGTGTGAATTGTGAAAGGATACGCATTGCATTTTGTTTTTGTAAACTTGCCAATTTCTATGAATACCTTGCACCTTCGCCATCAGCTTCAAAATGCAAGCATTTAAAATGTGTAGGGCCAAATGTTCAAGTATTGAAAACTGTGAACAGAAGTTTGGAGGTGTCTGGTTCCTGGGGAGGGAGACGACTTATAATTCTGCACTGCTGATAAACGTGTCCCTATTTAACAGCGCTCGGGAAACTTAACGTTACTGTTTTTGATTTTTGAAAGTAAACAATGTTGTGTGTGCACCTCCCATTAAGAGTTTTGCTTTCCTGAAATTTCTATAACTTGTATACTACCAGCTTATAAACGGAAATCTGTTTCTATGAAAAGTTTCAATGAAAATGCCCAATTCATTTCTATGTCCAAATATACTTTTGTTCACTTCCGAGTGTTGGCCATACGAGTGAATGGTTGTTTGTAGAAACGTTTAATTTGCTACTATATTACTTACTAGCTTTACTTACCCGGCTTCGCCCGGGACTTGGATTCACCACACCCGGCCGCCTTTATCTCCCCAGTGGCGATGTTCACACACCACACCAGTTACTCGTTTGAGGCTGAGTCGACCTAGGGGAGGCTCAGGACCAGTTCAAATAATCGTCACCGGTGGTGGCCGGGAGGGTAGCGCTGCGCGCGAATCGCTACGCAGTTGAAGAGCGCCTTAGACCTGCAACACATTTGTATTTCACTTTGCCCGCGATCAGCAGGCACACTCCGTTACGCTTTCCGCACACGGGTCACATGACAGATGTGACGTCACAGTTCACTTGCCGTGCAAGATATATGCATTATTGGGCCCCCCCAAAAAAAATACAAAAGTGTATTTTTATAATTTTTGCATGGTGTACAGTCTGGGAAGTACCCACATGGAAAATTTCAAGTTTGTTGCATGTCGGGAAGTACGCTAAACATTTTGAACAGACAATCACAAATTTCCATTTTATATTTCTAGATTAGGAAGAGGAAAATGTTTTTTCATTGCACTATTGCAATTAGTACAGGTTTGCGAATACATGCATAACGTATGAGTGTTGCGGTTCCTTTCATTTTGAAGTCATCATTTACGTGTATTCAATCAAGAGTCCGATATGTAGTTTTGTTTTCATTATTTCGTTTTGAAGCCATGCTTTAAACTGATGGTTTAATTCGGGAATCTCAGGCGGTCAACGTGACCTTGTTTTCGTGACTGCAAGGATCCATACGCTTTGGTTCTTTCGGTAAAGTCACGTAGGTGAAAATAAAAACATAATAAAAAAAGAATAAAATAGAAATAACTAAATTAAATCACGACGTTTCGGAAGCAACACAAGCTTCCGTCATCAGGTGGGACAACCGCAGCAAAAAACTAAATTACAGCTCTCTTTGCCCACTACAGTAATTTTTGATGACGGAAGCTTGTGTTGCTTCCGAAACGTCGTGATTTAATTTAGTTATTTCTATTTTATTCTTTATTTTTATTTTCACCTACGTGACTTTACCGAAAGAACCAAAGAGTATGTCTAGAATTAAGGTGCCTGAAATACACTGTGCTATTATATACACACACACATTCTAATCGGAAACGTGGTTATTTACGAATCCAAAATAGAAAAACAGAACAGTGCACATTTAAGCAATGGGAGACGCACATCCGATTAGCACCGTTGGCTTCGTACGGTGCGAAACAAGTACAACAAACATTAGAATTGCATTCGGAGACAAACGCGCGTGGGTTGGAGAACACACACAGGCTAATGTCATGCCTAAAACCGTTCTGAAAAGTTGGCTCTCCGGAACACTACGCTGAAAGGATTGATGGCCGACTATAAAGAATAGTAACAGGGACAGCCAAGCGATGGAACTGATGGTACATCCAGAGGGGATGAAATTGGCTCGTGTGCAGTTGCTCGATAGATAACTGCATCACAGAGAACGCGAGAAATGCTGGCGGCTTGGGGAGGCCCTTAATCCAACGGTGGATTGATCACATGGCCGATGATGAAAATACTCTTCAATGAAACTTGGCATTCATTGAACACGTGGAGTTTCTGCGGCCAACGTGTATGATTCATAATTGTTGTTTTGAGTCGGATTTGGGTGAGCACAATACAACCTGTGTTGTCACTCCCTCTTCCACCCGACGGCCGAAAATATAGTCACGTGAACACATTGTTTCAGCACACCGGCATGTTAGAGTAATCTAAACACTTCATAGTTTCATTTTGTGTAGCGTCATTCAAGATAATTGCGCGCTGTACACTATTGTACATACGGGTCAAATCAAATGTATGGCCAATTTGGTTAAACACATTCCTGCGGAGGGAGCTGGTAGGAACGTTGGGTTGCTCGGTCAATGGCCAGGGTCAACGGCGGCGTGGTGTATTCCGCAAATATGCCCGACTGTGAGGGCGGGCACAAGCCGGCGTGAGTAGGTTAAACGTTGAGTTTTATAAGGGCACCACGGGGTGACCAGCCCCTCCCCACCCAGCCCCACCCCTCCCACCCAGCCCCTCCCCTCCCCACCCAGCCCCACTCCTCCCATTTTTGGATGCACGACGGACGGACACAATCCTCTGTGGGCTGGTGGAACCAGGTGGTTCCTCCCAGTAAAACATGCCAGTGGTGAAGCAATAAAACATTGGCGTGTCTGTTCACACGTTAACTTCCAACTTCTTGGCGTTGGGGGTGGGATCACGACGCACCTTACAATTGGGCTTCAGCAGTTCGACCCAAAAACTAATTGATTCATAAAAACGGCATCGGTCGAAAGAATGCTTTTCTTTGGACAGTCGCATTCTCTCAACTCGTTTGAGTTGGTGGTTCTAAACGACAAGATGGCCACACAGCGCCCCACGAAACGTCGTATCGCCTGCAATTCGCCCCCTACCTCTGAAAGCCAAGGACGGCTCATCCTGGATCGTGCTCGGGTGAGTCATGACTGCCCTGCACATAACAGGGGTGTCGCAGGATGCCCGAATTGCCAGCAGAGAGCAATATAAGAAAAAAAAACTAAATCCATAGTCCCTTGCCTTCACCTTCCCGCATTGAACCAGCGTGGCGAAAACTGACCGAATGATCACCACGAGGACGTCATCCAGCAGTTGATTGACAGAAGAGCTGAACGTCCACGTTATAATTTTAATAAGGATGGATCATGGTATATTCCGACACACTGATTCGTATACTGCGCTAATAAACACCCGATTTCGGTAGAATGCAGCTTATACTCGGTACACAATGCTAGAATGCAATTTATACTCCATACACATTGGTAGAATACGGCTTATTCTTAGTACACTTTGGTCGTTGTCCCAAATGTTTATCAAACGCATGCCAACAACGGTGGCATGGCGCAGCTTTTTGCATGTTCATTGGATAGGTCACATGAGTCATCTAGTCATTAAACCCCCTCACCCACACCCCACTCATTTCGTGCCCTTTGTCACGAGGGAGACCGCATGCGGAGGGCTTCGCAATTCTCACATGAATTAATTTAAAATAATTGTTATGCAACCCTTTTTTTTGTGCGCTCCAGTAATTGTTACATAAATGTGGTGATACTGCGTTTGGCGGTGGTGCACAAGCATCTAACAAGAATACAGCTCAACACATCTGTCAATAACTGTGGCCTTAATACATATATAATACTGGTAGGAACCCACTGGTTCCACCAGCCCACAGGGGATTATTGTGTCCGTCCGTCGTGCAGGGAGGGGCTGGGTGGGGCGGGAGGGGCTGGATGGGGAGGGTGGGGAGGGGCTGGGTGGGGAGGGTAGGGCTGGGTGAGGAGGGTGGGGAGGGGCTGGGTGGGGAGGGTGGGGCTGGGTGGGGAGGGGCTGGTCACCCCGTGGTGCCCTTATAAAACTCAACGTTTAACCTACTCACGCCGGCTTGTACCCACCCTCACAGTCGGGCATATTTGCGGAATACACCACGCCGCCGTTGACCCTGGCCATTGACCGAGCAACCCAACGTTCCTACCAGCTCCCTCCGCAGGAATGTGTTAGGTGACGTTTCGAGTCCTTTTCAGAGCAAACGTGAATGCATTATTCCTCAATTAAATAACCGAGCATGACATTCATAGTGCGGTTGCAAGTTCCGTGCCTTCCAGCTATAACACACGTGTGCAATCAACAAATCTGAGTGACGAGAACCATCAATGTCAGTGGTATGCCGAATAATTGGAGGCCGCAATTCCCATACGTTTCGAACAAATATCCCCCGTATAGCCTGTAACAGACTGTTGGGGCAAGTGCTGTTAGCGAGCACTTGTTAAGGCCGGTACGGCACACGAGGGGGGTGGTGGCCAGCACCACGCCCGGCCGCCTTTGTCTCCCTCAGTGGAAATGTTTACACACCGCACCAGGTACTCATTTGAGGCTGAGTCGACCTAGGGGAGCCCCAGGACCTGGTTCAGATAATCGTCACTGGTGTTGGCCGTGAGCGGGAATCCAACTCGGGTCGCCAGATTCGTAGTGCAGCGTAGCGCTAACCGCTACCCCACCGCTCCCCATACAACAAAACACACAGCCACGTGTCAGACAGACTCAATGTGTGACACGTGTCACATACTCAATGTGTGACAAAACACAGGTATTGTGCATAAGCAAAGCGTCTTCACGGCAGCGAGAGCCCTCATTCTACTATGATGCGGGGGTTTTAACAGACGTTCACAGATTTGATAATTATTGCTAAAATTGTTATCGATGATCCAGTGTTGTGGAAGCCGGCCGATGGTTGTGCTTGTATGGAATCGAATGTTGCTGAAAGGATGCACTCACAGACGACGTTGTGGCCGATGGGGTGTTGCAGGAACAACGTTTATTTTTTTTACGCGGAGAGACGGATACATCAATGATCAAAGGTAATTTTTTTTTATTGGCACTAGCCGAGCTAATGGGCCCCATAAGTTGTAAGTGTCGGTTCCACACACGGTACTGTTGGTGGTTTCCAGGAGACAGACTTTGCAGCAGTAAACACTGATGGCCGTACTACGCTGATGAATCCTAAATAAGAATGAAACGGAGTCCACAGTTGTGTATATATCTGCATCACTGCTGTCACATTTATGTTGAAGGTGACCACCTGAGACGACTGGGACCACAAATGCTGTTCTTCAGGAACTGCTGATGGGTTTTCACACCTATCAACCCATTATCAGTGCCCTACAATATTACAGACCAACTCAGACCCTATTGATCACCCCGTGCCCGTATAAATCTCAAAGTTCATCCTATAAAGTCCCATCACAAGGGAGAATCACAAACAAATTAATTTTTGCCCGCATTGAAACGGCTGTACGCCCTATGGACCTGAAAACTCAAGTTCCCTACACAAGAATACGGAGTAAACCGCATGGGTTGACCGCTCTGCTATATATCTATGTATCTCTATGGGTCTCTATGTATCTCTGTCGGTCTCTAGGGATATCTATGGGTCTGTCGATAATACATCATGTCAACCCCGTATCAGTGCCTAACTTATTACGGACTAATTCCGGCCCTATTGGTCACCCCGTGCCATTTATAAATCTCTACGTTCATCCTACAAAGTCCCATCACAAGGGAGAATCACAAATTAATAGACAATTTCATATTTTTTGCCCGTTTTGAAACGGCTGTGCGCCGTATGGACCTGAAAACTCAATTTCCCTGTACAAGAATACGGCTAAACCGCATGGATTGACGCGGTATGGGTTTTTGTTTTGCATGGTGCACGAAGGCTGGTGTTGCTTTTATACACGTTTGTTGTGCATAAAGGGCCGTCCATAAATGACGTCACGCACCTGGGGGGGGGGTCAGACATTTGTGACGATGTGTGACGAGGGGGGGGGGTAAGAAATGTGACGTCACATCAAAATGCGCAACTTTAAATAAATATAGACAACACGTTCTACTTAATTAAATATACTTTTTAATAAATGTTTTCTCATACAACATCAGAGTGCAGCGCCACATTAAATACGCACTACAATGATTTGAAGCATGTTTTATTTTCAAAATGGAAATATGGTTTTCGGGGGGGGGGGGGGAGCAGAGCTTTGTGACGTCATATTTGAGGGGGGGGGGGTCTGACTTTTTGTGACGCCGTGTGACGAGGTGGGGGGGGGTCAAAAATCGTCCAAAATCGCGTGACGTCATTTATGGACGGCCCCTAAACGCCTGCTGGACATCGGCGAAAAATAACTTTACAATTCACCGTATTCCTCAATACTCTTTGTTTTTTTTCGGTAAAGTCACGTGGGTATAAAATAAAAATCACGACGTTTCGGGCGCAAAACAAGCGTCCATCATCAGGTGGGAAAAGCATGGTCTGCTGCTGAGGCAGACTGTTTAAGAAGAATAAGAAAATGCAATAATTTATTATTTGCACGTTGCGTTCCAAACGCAGCGTGTGGGCCCAGCGCGGTGACGTCACGTCAAGGCCGGGGACTATTTCCTCTCCGCGGACTAACACACGGAGGGAGGGAGGGGGGGGAGGGACTTTGCCTCTCGCGCGGTGATGCGGCCGCGCCGGCAGCTCGCCTCACTCAACTCACTCCGCGCCTTCGGTTCCCGGCACGCGAAAAAGGTTGGTGGTGAAATTCGATTTAAATGTTTTTAAACATTTTTTTTTTTAGTCGTTTAAAAACCTGCCCCGTTTGTAAGCGATGCGTGTTCGAGTATGCGCCCGCCTCGCGTTGTGATTTGTTTTAATAGGCTGCTCAAAAGAACTAAACAAAAACTTTTTTTTTGACAGTGTGTTGAACGCGTTTGTATTTGCTAGAGCGGATGGGCGCCGCGCGGCTTATGCGTGTTACGAAATACAATTGCGTGCGTCACCGCTGCTGTGATGTGGCCGTGGTTATTGAGGAGCGGTGGCGCAGCGGTTAGCGCGCTGGGCCACTCATCCGGACACACAAAGGCCACGAGTTCGATATTCCCACTCGGGGACACGCCGACGCTAGTGGCGATCATCAGAACCGTTCCTCTAGGTTCCACTCGGCCTCAAATTCGTGCTTTGTGCGATGTGAAATCGTCAGCACTGGGGGAGACAAAGGCGGTCGGGCGTGGTGCTGGTCACCCATCCGGCTGTAATAGGTGTTCGCTACCAGCACTTGCCCCAGCAGTCTGGTGAAGGCTATCAGGGGGACCTTTAGTCTTTTACGTGGCTTGTGAACCGCTGAGATAAGTTTATAAAAGTGTGGACGATTTGCCCCTTTTTAAGTTAAACATGCGATGCGTGTGCTGCCGTGAAGGGTCATTGCCCGAAACGTCGCCTTAATACAAGGATGAAAGGGTCAACAATCTCAAGGGGCTGGTCATAAATGACGTCACGCACCTAGGGGAGGGGGGGGGTCAGACATTTGTGACGATGTGTGACGAGGGGGGGGGGGGTGAGAAATGTGACGTCACATCAAAATGTGCAACTTTAAATATATATAGAATTTCGATTTAAAACTTTCGTGACTGCAGGGATTCATCTTCTTGGTTCTTTCGGTAAAGTCACGTAGAAGGGAAGTAATAAAATAATAAAAATAAAACATAATAAAATAATTCTCACGACGTTTCGGCCACAACGCAAGCAGCCGTCCTGAGGACTTTACCGAAAGAACCAAGAAAATATAGAATTGTTATAACACTAATTGTTAGAACAACACTCCTACAACATCAGAGTGCAGCGGCACATTAAATACGCACTACAATGACAATATTTTAAAGCGATTTGAAGCATGTTTTATTTTAAAAATGGAAATATGTTTTTTTTTTGGGGGGGGGGGGGGGACAGAGCTTTGTGACGTCATATTTGAGGAGGGGGGGTCTGACTTTTTGTGACGCCGTGTGACGAGGGGGTGAAGGGGGTCAAAAATCGTCCAAAATCGCGTGACGTCATTTATGGACGTCCCCAAATATTCCAATGTCATTTTACTTCGAATTAGGGACCCCCCCCCCCCCCACCGTGGCAAGTTCACAAGCATATCGAGTGGCGTCTGATGAAACCACGTGTCGAAACCGGCCCAGAGGTTTTGCTTTGTGTGGGCTGATGGATTGTGTTGAGAAATAACTTTGTATATTTTACTGAAATGTATTGCCACTGCTGTTCTCGAAAGCCCCAGTTCTTGACTGTGTTTGGCCTACTCTTCCATGCTGGGCAAGCAATCTAGAACGAGGATATAGACGAAAATATGTTTCATATTCTTAGGTTTTTTCGGTAAAGTCACGTAGGTAAAACATTAAAATTAATAAAAGTAAAATAAAATAAAAATCACGACGTTTCGGAGGCAATACAAGCTTCCATCTTCAGGTGGAACCGTCACAGCCACGACAGCTGTATCAAGTAAATGAGAGATTGCAGGAGCTACCACTTCGTTTATATAATGCTTGGAGAAGTGATTTTTATTTTATTTTACTTTTATTAATTTTAATGTTTTACCTACGTGACTTTACCGAAAAAACCTAAGAATATGAATCCTTGCAGTCACGAAAGCTTCAAATCTAGAAGAAAATGTTTATATTTTTCCCCTTTTAAGAGCAGTGCTCTCAATTAATGTTGGCTTTGCGTCTTCCCCCCTTTAGACTCTCGTCTGAACGAATCTCATCTTTTTGTTATTTGTCGTGACATTTTTGTTTTTTAAATTACAGTGACTTTCTCTCGCTTGGGGATTGTGATTCATAAGAACCTCCGCTTAACACAAAATGCTAGAGGCTGCAACCATTACCTAAGTTAACCAAAAGGTAAACAAAGTACGGTCAGTTCTGCAATCACGCCGCGTGCTTTCACAACGCGAATTGGATATAACGCGATGAATGTGTTAGGGAACACTTTTGTTGTTTATAACGCGGATGATGCGAATAGGACAATGCGACTGAGTGAACGGAGTTAGGAATGAGCGGTTTGTGCGTCTGCCTTTGGGGCCGTCCATAAATGACGTCACGCACCTGGGGGGGGGGTCAGACATTTGTGACGATGTGTGACGTCACATCAAAATGTGCAACTTTAAATAAATATAGACAACACGTTCTACTTAATTAAATAGACTTTTAATAAATTTTTCTCCTACAACATCAGAGTGCAGTGCCACATTAAATACGCACTGCAATGACAATAGTTTAAAGCGATTTGAAGCATGTTTTATATTTTTCTGGGTGGGGGGGCAGAGCTTTGTGACGTCATATTTGAGGGGGGGGGGTCTGACTTTTTGTGACGCCGTGTGACGAAAGGGGGGGGGGGTTAAATATCGTCCAAAATCGCGTGACGTCATTTATGGACGGCCCCTTTGGTGTAGCATCATCACACAAGGCAGTCAGTGGGATGCTGCTGGATTCCTCTCGATGCCACTACCCATGTGCTTCGGGTCTTTGCTCAGCCTGCGTACGCATCTCACGTGTGTGTGTTGTCGCAGACTGTGCGCTCGTTACCCCACTCGTCACAAGTAACCAAACCTGTCTTCTAGTGGTTCGTGTTAAACAAGTTTATTTAACATTTCAGAAATATGGTGGGGGAATTTTTTAATTAAAAAAAGATTGAATCATGAATAGCTGTTAAGCGAGTCACTGGCACACCCCTTAATCGTTTTCTCTCGCCACCCTTATCCACGGCAACGTGTTTCTATTGCTTAGCGACTAACACCGTGGCACACATTTTTCACTCATTTTCATGGTTTCAATTAATGAATTATAAACCTAGAACACAGTAATTAGAAAAAAACGCATTAAGATCAACGATAACAAATGATCATGAAAAATGTCAGTGTTTTTGAGACCTACCTTCCCATTGAATCAATGGTTGTTATCACCCTATTTTTTTATTATTACACGCTTTTATTTAACTCACTTCGTCTGTTGTATCCTCAAAAAAGAAATCTTGTAACTCAATTTTTACACTATATTTCGATTTAAAGCTTTCGTTACTGCAGGGATTCATCTTTTTGGTTCTTTCGGTAAAGTCACGTAGAAGGGAAATAATAAAATAATAAAAATAAAACATTAAATACAATTCTCACGACGTTTCGGCCACAACGCAAGCAGCCGTCCTCAGGTGAAAGACAGCGTCTGAATTCAGACGCTGTCTTTCCGACAGACCTGTTCTTCACTTGAGGACGGCTGCTTGCGTTGTGGCCGGAACGTCGTGAGAATTGTATTTTATTGTTTTATTTTTATTATTTTATTATTTTATTATGTTTTACTTTTATTACTTTATTATTTCCCTTCTACGTGACTTTACCGAAAGAACCAAGAAGACAGTGGACTATGTTGTAAAAAAAGTTGTTGATGCTGCCACATCTCGGTGGGTGCCAATGCTTCCACCGCTTCTGCCAGATTCCTGCAGCTGCTGCACTGTTGGCCCGCGGCGACCTCCCAAGATCTGTCCTGACCTTATCCCCACTACCTGCTCGTGTAGGTCTTCTCTTCCCTTTCGACTCGTGGAGACACTTAATCACGTGGCAGCACATTTAGATTTTTGCCTTTATCGAGGATGGCCTTGGTCAAGTTCAGTGATGTAGCGGTGCTATAAAATCCTTTGCCAATTATGTTGCAGGGAACTTTGAACACAATGTTTTTTTTTTATATCTTGCGAATGAGGTCACAGAGTGTTTTCTTGTTCCTTTGGAACCATACTGCACTCATTCATCAATACATTTCCCACAGTCCAGCATGTTGTACAGATGCAACATCAAACGGTCAACTCGATGCAAACCAACTCGCGTGTGGCGAGCGCATTGACCGCGGGGCTGTTTGTTAATCTACTGAATTTAGTTTGTTGCCCTTAACCCCACACCTCCAATTAGCACGGTTGACTACGTAGGATGCAGAACAAGTTCAACATACGAACATCATCACCTCCATTTGTTGTCCTTCCCCTGAAGCTCCGATTAACACGGTTGCCTACGTGCGGCGCGAAAGAAGTTCAACATACATACGTACAACTAAACTTCGATCCTGGCAGCGTGCCGGGGATGTTGCGGTTGGAGTACACCCTTTTCGTAACTTACAGAACGCAACCACCACCACCCCATCCCACCACCGCCCCCCCACCACCGTTCGTAGATGGCTGCTATCCGCAAGAAGCTGGTGATCGTGGGCGACGGCGCGTGCGGAAAGACGTGTCTGCTCATCGTGTTCAGCAAGGACCAGTTCCCCGAGGTGTATGTGCCCACCGTGTTCGAGAATTACGTGGCCGACATCGAAGTGGACGGCAAGCAGGTGAGGCGCAGTCTCTCTCTGTCCGCCGAGGTTGTCAGCGCTTTCAGAGTTATAAGCTATAAGTAAAATCTATAAACTGTTTTTATTTTGCCAGGTAAGGCCCAATGAGCCGTATAGCTTTGTTTCAGAAGTGACCTGGCCAACACAAATGATAGATCAATAAAGTGGCTTATTGCTTGGAAATTTAGAACGGTACGATAACCTCAGAGCATGTTTATAAATGTGGAGGGGAAAACTGGAGGACCCGGGGGTCAATCCACGCCACCACAGGGAGAGAGAACATGCAAACTCCAAATATACAGGTGTCAGAGAGTCGGGATCGAACCCACGACCCCCCCCACTAGCCACTTTGGCATGCGATCATTTCCAAACCAGGCTCCTGGGTTCTCTCAGCCAGTCGCATGCCAGTTTGTCGGGAAATGTTTTGTTATGCAGGGCGATCCGTTTGTAGATACCCCACTAAAATAACCAGGATGGCATTTACAATTGGGAATAAAAGTTAAATAATCGGGAGGTATTTACAAAACTCTGTTCTGCGTATCAACATACAAGTATAAATTTTAGTCCATGGACCTTTTGGTTTTCCATTAGCCAACATTATTATTACAATTGTTTAGCCAGATTGTCAATACTCTCCTTCAGGAGGGTTCTACTAAGTTTTCACAGTCGGGGGCAACGGTTGCTTGATGCGTTTCCCAATTTAATGTGGCAAATTTTTGACTTACACCAGCACACAATGGCCTACTCTTCTTCGAATGACGTCACGGAATGTTTAACATTGGCGTGTTTATGGGTAACCCACCCGCAGTATTTACCGGCGTGGCCTACCCGGTCCGAGCCGCGATCCTCTGCAATGGGCGGCGAACACGCTTGCCGCTGGGCCATGTGACTTATGGTTGTTAGATTTAAAGCTATTTTATTATCGTGCACTTTGCAGTAGTTGGTGCTCCGTAGCCCTAGTGATTTGCAAGGCAAGGTTTCGTTGGCGTGTAAAGTTAACGTTAACATTCTTAGGTTTTTTCGGTAAAGTCACCATTATATATACGGGGTGGTATTTCTTGTGATCTCTCATTTACTTGATACAGCTGTCGTGGCTGTGATGGTTCCACCTGAAGACGGAAGCTTGTGTTGCTTCTGAAACGTCGTGATTTGTATTTTTATTTTATTTTTTATTTTACTTTTATTAATTTAATTTTTTACCTACGTGACTTTACCGAAAAAAACCTAAGAATATGAATCCTTGCAGTCACGAAAGCTTCAAATCTAGAGTTAACGTTAACGTCATGGATTACGGAGCAGACATTTGCTGCAGCAGATTCGAAGGGATACATCGGACACATTCGTCCTGTTGTACTACAAATGTCTTGGCGTGACCAATATCTCGTGCAATTATAAAATGTAGCTGCTTGAAAAAAGAAATGTTGACAGTTCACCTCTGCAGTGTCTGTTACCCTAATCCCTTAATAATTACAGGGAATTGTCTAATCATTGTGAGCAAGGTGCATATTGTAAGATACTGAGCAGGGTTTAGATGGCTGGATGACTCCATTCGGCAGTAAATTGCCTATTATGCGATTTCACCTTCCAAACCGCAGTGAAGCGCACCACTGAGTGAGCCACTCGTTGCTCGCACTCTGTCGAGCGAGGGAGGATGTGGCAGAGGTTCGCAACCGGGTACCCGATACCCGTACCCTACCCGATACCCGGCCGGGTACGGGTAGCCGTTTGCGACCCTGGTGCGGCCGGGTAGGTACGGGTAGGCTGTGAGTCACTGGTGAGTAACCATTTGTCACTCATTTCGAGTAGGATACGGGTAGGGAACGGCTACCCGTACCCGGCCAGGTACGGATACTCATTTGCGACCCTAGTGCGGCCGGGTACGGGTAAGGCATCAAAACCCGTTTGCGACCTCTGGGATGTGGAGAATCCAAGTCAATCACTGGGAGATGCTCAACTGCTGCGCTGCCGTTTCCTGTCCGTGGTCAAATTGAACAGCAGCTGTCAACCATTATTAAGGCTCTTTGGTTCTTTTGTTTAACCTCAATCATTCAAGCCATGCTGAAGGTATTCAATAAAAATTTAACAAAGCTGCCAACGCACATCGAGTGCAATGTTGTCCCATTGTTTACTGCCAACTGGAAAGGGAGGTTTTTTTGTACACACAACCTTACCAAGTGTAAGAAAAATCAACCTTTTCTTTATTTGAATAGCCTGGGCGGGCATCACTCTCTAATATCACAACATGCAGCACCTCCGATTAGCACGGTTGGCCACGTACGATGCCATAGAAGTTCAACATAAATTTTGATTTAAAGCTTTCGTGACTGTCGGGATTCATATTCTTGGTTCTTTCTTTCTGTGGATTTCACACCTGATGATGATTGCTTGTGTTGCAGTCGAAACGTCGTGAGAATTTGTATTGTTTTATATTAATATTATTTTATTATTTCCCTTCTACGTGACTTTACCGAAAGAACCAAGAATAAGTTCAACATACATGATAATACGGTCATTGTTGTAGAGGTGGGGGCATTAGAATGGTCCCGAATAGCCTTAATAATACTTAATTTGGAGCTTTCGTGACTGCAGAAATTACTCTTTGGTTCTTTCGGTAAAGTCACGTATAAAGAGAAAATAATAAATTAAATACTAGCATACGACGTTTCTATTAGTCGTATGCTAGTATTTAATTTATTATTTTCTCTTTATACGTGACTTTACCGAAAGAACCAAAGAGTAATTTCTGCAGTCACGAAAGCTCCAAATTAAGTATTATTAAGGCTATTCGGGACCATTCTAATGCCCCCACCTCTACAACAATGACCGTATTATCATGTATGTTGAACTTATTCTTGGTTCTTTCGGTAAAGTCACGTAGAAGGGAAATAATAAAATAATATTAATATAAAACAATACAAATTCTCACGACATTTCGACTGCAACACAAGCAATCATCATCAGGTGTGAAATCCACAGAAAGAAAGAACCAAGAATATGAATCCCTGCAGTCACGAAAGCTTTAAATCTAAATTTATGTTGAACTTCTATGGCATCGTACGTGGCCAACCGTGCTAATCGGAGGTGCTGCATGTTGTGATATTAGAGAGTGATACCCGCCCAGGCTATTCAAATAAAGAAAAGGTTGATTTTTCTTACGCTTGGTAAGGTTGTGTGTACAAAAAACCTCCCTTTCCAGTTGGCAGTAAACAATGGGACAACATTGCACTCGATGTGCATTGGCAGCTTTGTTAAATTTTTATTGAATACCTTCAGCATGGCTTGAATGCTTGAGGTTAAACTTAATAAAGCGCAAGTATGCGTTGCAGAATGCAACGTCCTATGGCAGATTTAACAATCTTAAGTCGTTTGATGACAGTGATCCGCCTCTAAAAATGCGGCGTCACGCCTCAACAGACTATGAAATGCACGCGTGCGCACACGCCCAGTTTCCAACAGAAAGGGCATTGATTGCAGAAACGCAGTGCTGATAGTTTGCATGTGCGGGTACCCACGTCAGACGGAAGGCAAAGGTGGGCGTGGATGACGGGCATGGAATTATTTTGGGGCTTCACACAAAATTAAGGGAGCCGCCTGAATGTGACTTCCATCAGGAAAGGACTGGAGTTGAATGTGGCGAGGTCTGCTCCTCCACGAGAGGGCTTCGAGAGAGAGTTAGTGTAGCTTTGCTATTCCATCTGTTGAAAGGAGCGCAGACTACAGTTGTCTTTGAGTTGTGCGCCTTTTGGCGGCATCTGGTCCAACACCATGTGAGACTAGGCTCTAAGAAAAGCTGTCTCGGGTGTGGACCAATCAATTTCAAGGACAGTGCATACATTATCAGAGTTGTGTTTTTTGTTTGCATTCCGACCGCAGGTATTGTGGTCAATGCAAACATGACTCCTTGTAAAAAAAAAGGTGTCAGTTTTGTTGCCAGATAAAAGGGTAAAAACCCAATTATCATATTTTGCTACTGGCAAAGGAGGTTCCAATGGTGGTACAGTGGTTTACTTGACAGTCCACAGTTTGGGTTGCATAGCCACAAGTACACTGCGGCCGACGTCAAGTAAACATCTCATACAGGGCCCTGCCAGTGAACCTCCCGGCTTCAACCTTCCACGCCGCCAATGATCGACCATCAACCGAATCTGGACCGGGCGTAGCCGACGCGGCCACCTGATGCACAAACAGCGCATCAAAGATTTGGCGGCCTTCAAGGACAGCCACGAATCTTAAACCATGGACGGCAACGTAAACACTCCGCCACCGCCGCTGTCTTCACTCGGTTACAGGAGGACTGGGACGAGATCCCCACTCTGATTCTGAGCAGACAATTGAGTGGCTGACAAATTTAAAATTACATCTTTAACCTGCTGCTCTCAATCCATACGATGTTCCATTTGTGGAGATGTGCGCATCGGCCTTTCAATGTTTCGATGCGGTTGATGGTGGCACACAAGCGTCTTCGAGGAGGAGTGTCAGAGACAGGAGGTGTGATGTTTGGGTCATCAATGAGACGTTTATTCTGTGTGTTAACACCAGCATTGAGTACAATGAATAAGCAGTCAGTTGTGGGTCTTGGCTCCATCGCCCTATTATAGTTCACCGAACCAGCTTTGAAGGCATCTCGCTGGCCTGGTCAAGCTATATGTTACGAGCGTGGCATCTTTGTTCCGGTGTTCGTACAGTGTTATGCACATGGCTACCCTGTTTAGCTGTTCATCTGCTCCCAGTGTACAAGGGGAGGCTTTTCAGTTTTGTGGGACAGAATGACCATTGTATAGCAGCGGCAGACACACGCAACATAGACGACCTTTAACCCTTGACACGGTGGCGTAGTCTTCCGCTGCCGTGGGATGTCTCTGACCTAATATACTGGAAAAACAAATCTAATGAATAACACGTTGGCGATAGTCATTGCTGAATCCTACTCATTTCGGCAAATAACACTGCAATGAAGGTGCTACTTTAAAAAAATAAAATTGACAAATTCAATAGACACG